TGCCTCCATTTCCTGCAGAAACATGCCCATGGTCTGCCCTGGCGCAGCAGCAATATTTCCTGTGGCTCCTCACACCTCTTGTACCTTGGGATGTCTCCCACCGACACTTTGTCCCCTTGGGAATGGGGGATGGAGAGAGGGCGTTATCTCCTTGTCCTTGACTTTGTGTTTTTCCAAGGGCCTTGTCCACTTCCTTCAGAAGTGTTTTTTTCCAAATATGTTAATCTGTGGATGTAAGCTAAGGAGTTGTGGGATCATGTAGGAGCAGAGGGAGCTTTCCAGGGAAGAGAGAAACACTGCTGCCTCTGGAGACTGGGTGTTCAGGGAATCCTGGAATAGTTTAGATTGGAAAGGACCTTAAAGCTCRTCYAATTCCAGCCTCCTGCCATGGGTTTGGTTGTACTTCCCACTAGACCAGTCCATTATTCCAGTTTTGCCTCTGGAGCTGACTCACTATTGTCCAGGTTGTTGCTTCAGAGCCTTTCAGGACACCCTGTAAAAGATCCTTTCTCCCAAAGTCTGGGGGTTTGGCTAAATCCCACCTCTCCTGTATCCCTATCCCTGATTACTGCTTTCCCTGCATCCCGTCCTGCCTGTGATGGGATAGTTTCTCTGGGAATGCAGAGGGKTTGGATGTGGGAGCAGGGATGCTGGCTGGGAGCTCACTGACAGCTCCCAGGGAAGGGTGGGCTTGAAACAATCCTGGCCCCTCCATGGAGAAGGTTTGCCAGGATATTGTTCCAAACCTGTATCCATTGCTCCGTTCACGAGTTCATTTTAATTCCATGACACCCAAATTCTCACAAATCCCCAAATCCTCAGCCCTCAGTTTGGTGTTTTCCTTGGATGGGATCTTACGCCACGGATCCCAGAGCTCATCCTTAGCTGTGCTTTTAGTGTGGAATTGGTTGGAATTTGGACTTTCTGCTCCACTACAGGGAATGCAGGAGCTGCCCTTTGCTTTGGAGGGCCAGGGCTGTCCTTAGGGATGGCCTGGCAAGGGAATGTCCCCAGGAGGGGACATGGGGACTGCTGAACCTCAACATTACCTGGGACAATCCCACCTTTTGTGGGCTGGGCTGGGATGTGTAGGGAGGAAAGGTGTCCTAATCCAAGGGAAAGTGCTCAGGGATGTCATTCCTGAGGGAGCAGAGGATGACAGCAATGGGGTGAGGAGGGGCTGTGGTTCAGGGAAAAGGCCTGAACCCCTGGAAATGCCTGGAACAGCYGGGACTTTGCTGCAGGGTGGTCCTTGGGGAGCTGTGGGAGCGCTGGCTCTGTGTCCCACTCCAGTTACAGCCTCGGTGGAGGCTGGTTATCGTCCCAGTCAAGTAATAAAGAGCATTAATTAAGCAGGAATGCTGGGCTGGCAGGAGCCAGGGGCTGCTCCAGGACCACCAGTGGGCACATGGGGCAATAGGGACATCATCCCTCTGTTCCATGTGGAAGCAGCCGTGTCCAGGGCTGCAGCCCAAATCCCTGGGTTTGCCAAGGTGGCAGGCACGGGATGGATGCTATTCCCAGCTGGAATGGCTTCTCCCTGCATGGCAGAGGCGTCCAGGATGGGAAGGAGCTCTGAAGCTGAGCGCTGGCCCCGTGGCTCCCCGGGCTTAGGCGGTGTTTGGTTTGTTTGCCATGGCCTGGATTCCTGGTGCTCGCGGCCAGGCCGGCAGCCAATCCCCCCGGGCCGAAGGATAAACACGGCAGGAGGGAGAAGGGGGTGAGGAGCAGCACGGGGGCCCCGGGAATGTGCCGATGCTGCAGCCCGGCCTGGGGATTGCACAACCGGGTCCTGGGGAGTGGAAAACGGGGATGAGCCCAGGGGCGTGCCGGGGATCTGCAGCTCGCCGGGCACTGCTGGGCATCCCAGGGAATTCCTCCTCATCCCTGGATCCCACTGCTGCTCCAGCACATGCTGGAGGACCTCTAGGAGAAGGAACCACATAGAACTGGCAGCTCTCCTGATTCTATTCCACCCTGCAGCACTTTGGATGTTTTATCACCTCCTTGCCTCAGTTTTCCCTGAAAACTCAGTGCTGTGTGGCTTCGATGGCACTGGGAAACTCTGGGCTTGGCAAAACCTCCTCCTCTCCTCCTCCCYGGTGTCCCCCCAGCCCTGGCTGATGTTCCCCAGCCCTGACCTCGTCGTCATCTCCAGCTTCCCACATCTGGTTTGTGTTAGCRCATCCCGGGATGAAGTTCTCCAGCTCTCTCCCTCCTCCCACTCCCAGGTGACCCGGGCAGGATTAGGGGTGATTTGAAGACAGGCAACGGAGTAGGAATTGGAGAGGGAGGGGGGACTGTTATAAATAGAAATTCCATAAACTTCTCAGCCTATCACTCCAGGAAAATTCCGGGTTAAATACCTCAGGTCTGTAAATACGACAATTCAGGCTCTGTTAACTCTTTCCAAGCCCCGTGCCCACCTCTAGGAGAACCCAAAATTGGGGCAAGGAGCAGGTAAGGTGGCAGCAGGAGGGCTGAGCCAGTCAGAGCAGGGGCAGGGAGGAGGCAGCGGGGCAGGAAACACCTCYGTTGGGATGTGGAGCGTGCGTGGAGGTTTGGGGAAGGCAGAGAAAAACAGTCCAAACATTGGGATTCCTGACATTCTCACACGTCCAGGGGCCTCAGCCCGCCCGGCTCCGCTCATGAGGAGGGTGCTGAGGGTTTAACTTCTTGTTTTTCAGGCAGAGGTTTGGCTTTTTTTTGGGATCGCCAGTGCTCTTTCCCGAGGGAAGAGTTAGAAAGTGGAATGGTGAGGACACCAGGACAGGAGGAGAATGGGATCAGGGAGCTGGCAGGTTTGGGATGGATGAACTCAGAGCCATCCAGAGATGTGGGAGCCTGTCCCATGTGGAGCCATGTGGGTGCTGAGCTTCCCTCCTCAGTGGCTTCCTACTAATCCCCCCTCGGGAGGGGGAGGGAATGCCAGTGCCGTTGGGATCTCGTGACTACGGGGCAGTGTTAGCTTTTCATTAATCACCTAAGCTGGCTTTGGTCAGAGCCCGCCTGTGTGAGAGCTGCAGGCAGTGGGACATTCCTTGTCCCTGACATCCCTGTTTCTGTGTAGATTCCACTGTCCTGGAGCAGAGGAAGGTCCTTTATTGTCACTGGGCAGCCACTTCCCCCCTCCAGCCCTGATGCACCTCTCACGCCCCTGGGTTTATCTTGCCCTCCTCAAGGTGACTTCAAGGAGGCAAARGAATCCTGGAATGGTTTGGGTTGGAAGGACCTTAAAGCTCATCCAGTTCATGAGCAGAGACTCCTTCCAAGTTGGTCCTGAGCTCTGTCCRACCTGGCCTTGGGCACTTCCAGGGATGGGRCARCCACAGCTGCCTTGGGTAAGCTGTGCCAGGGCCTCAGCACACTCAGAAAATAGGGAAGGCCAGCATCCCATCRTCTGTCAAGGTCTTCCCATGTTTTCTGGACAGTTCTGTGCCCTTCATCTACCCCAGAGAAGCTGCTGGAGTTTGGTGGTGTGAGGGAAACCCAGCGGGGTGGGACTTTTCTTGTACAGGCTGAGTCACAAGAATTGGCCAAGTGCCCTTTTTTGCTTCTTTGATCGTGGATCCCAACCCCGAAACTTGGGATGAAGACAAGTTTTCTGATGGCCTTTGGGGTGGGTATCTGCCAAAGGCATCCTGTGATTTGGCTTTTTGGCCAAGAGGGAGGCAACAGAGCWGGGGGAGGATTCCCATCCTCCCGGAGTGCTCATCCCTGGCAGGAGGTTTCAGGGATGTTAYGGGATCACAGTGGGGGCTTGAAGAGGTGCCTTGGGTGTTTGTGGTGAATTGTTGGGAGCAGGCTAGGGCAGGGATCCTTTGGGATGAATGAGGGACATGGAGGGATGGCCATCTGTGATAAACTCCAAGGACAACAGGGAGGAGCTRCCACATCCCAGGAACTTCACAGTGGAGGGACAGAAGCCACCTCTGTGCTCCTGTGGGATCTTCAGCTCCATCCTGAAGGCTCCACTTGCTCCATCCTCTCCTCACCTTAGTACTCACCTGGGAGCAGCATCACTCCAGATGGATCTGTGTTCACAAGGAAGAGCATCCCCACCCTGTCCCCAAGTCCCCAGGCTCTGCCACAGAGATGTCCCAGTAATGAGAGGTTACTGGGATTTTTCCCTCCTCCAGCCAAGGTTTCTAAGGCAGAGATCCCTGTATCCACACACACCCTGTCCGCTTGGCAGAATTCCTAACTGGATTTATTTCTGCCGATTTGCCTGTCTTGGTATGAAAGGGATTTGCAGAGGCAGAGCTGCAATTGGCTGGGATGGGCCTTTGCGGATCAGCAGGTGACCTTTCCCGGGAACCAGGGGGGATCCAGGGGGTCAGGGGCTTCTGCTGGGCTTTCACGTGGGCTCTTTCAGGATGGTCTTTTGTCCACTTCCTTATCAGAGCAGGGGGAGTGAGATTTTCTCTTCCACTTYCTTGGCGGTGCCTTTGGCACCATGGGCTGACTCTGCCCCAGCAGGCTCCAGACTCCCACTCGGGAGAGACAGATAAAGCAAGGATTTTCTGTCAACAAAACCCTGCCCAGCTTCCCTGGAACAGGGCAGGGATGGGAGGAGGAGCCCTCCAAAGGACAGGGAAATCCACTACTTGCCTGTGGAGCAGAGGAGTGGCAGGAAGGTCGGGAGCTGGTCTAGAACTGCGGTGGAGAAATTCCAGTGTGTTCTGCAGAGGGTCCAAAGGGAATCACAGAATGTCCTGAGCTGGAAGGGATCCCCCAGGATCATGGTCCCCCCTCTGGCTTATCCCATGTGCCCCATCTCCTGGGATGAGGTTTTCCACTGGGATGCAGTGGGGTTGGAGAGCTGGCAATCGCCAGGGATCTGCTGCTGAGAGTTGCAATGGGATATCTTTAMGGTCCTTTCCAACCCGTTCTGTGATTTCACGATTCTCAGATCAGTTCCTTGACTCTGCAAGGATCTGATAGTGTTTCCAAGGCCCTTTACTGTCCTGGCTTATGCTTCCACCCCCTCTCCYCTGCAGGCCACGACATTAATGGAGCTCTGGAACCATCCAACATCGACACCAGCATCCTGGAAGAGTACATCAGCAAGGAAGACTCTCCGGAGATGTAAGTGCTTCCCTTGCTCTGCGGCAGGAACGGTGTTCCCTGTGCTTTTCCATGGAGAAATCACAGAATTCCAGAATGGTTTTGGTGGGAGGACCTTAAAGCCCATCCAATCCCATCCCCTGCCATGGGCAAGGACACCTTCCACTATCCCAGGATGCTCCAAGCCTCGCCCACCCTGTCCTGCAACACTTCCCTGGCATGGGGCAGCCACAACTTCTCTGGAAACCTCTTGAGGGATTTCCAGTTCTGGGGAAACGTTTAGAATTCCCCTCTGTCTCTCCAGACTCCTCCTGGATTGCACTTTGCTCCTTTATTATTCCCAGCTCTTCCTGACTTTTGAGTTTTCCCAGTCTCTTTTGTTCCCTCTCTTTATCCCCCTGAGGGCACCATAAACACTTTTCCTTGGGAAGGGAAGGGAAGGGAAGGGAAGGGAAGGGAAGGGAAGGGAAGGGAAGGGAAGGGAAGGGATCTCCCTGTCTATCCCAATTTTGGGAAGGAGAAGGGAGCAAACCTGGAGAGCATCAAGGGATTCTGGGGGCGGGGTGGGCGGAGTGGGATCTTTGACACAGTTTCCCGGTGCTGATCTGTAAGCTGGAGCACAGTGAGCAGATCCTGCTGGCTCCATGCTCCTTGAGGTTGGTATCCTGGGCGCTTTAAAGCATCCCAGATGGATTTTGGGCTCTTCCATCAGTCCCCTTGCCCCATTCCCTGACCTTATCCCATTTTCTCCCCCAGCTGCTTCCCTGAGATCCCCGCTCCCACCAGCTACGCACACCCGCAGCCCTCCAGCTCCGCCGGCATCCCCGCGCCTCCCGCCAGCTCCATCGGCAGCGTGACCAACCCCTCTSCCAGTGCTCCCCTGCACCTCCCTCCCTCCAGCAGCCAGCTGCCCATCCGCCACGGCCCTCTTCTGGCCAGTCCCTGTGCACCCTATGGAGCTCACCTCAACTGCAACAACAACAATGGCATGGTGGTGCCCAAGGGCTTCCTGGGCGGCCACTGCCTGAACAACGTGGTGCCTCCAATCAAATCCGAGCCCAAGGCCTCCTACGCCCCTGGGTGAGTGGGAATGGGGTGGTGGGATAAGGTGGGGTGCTATGGGGTCTCTGGTCCCACGGAGCTTTGTGGTAAATCCTTGCTTTTGGACAAGTGGAGCTCCTGGAGCTTCCCAAAAGGTTTTTTGGGAACATCTCTCACACCCTCATCGAGTTCTGGAGACCCGTGCTGGACCTCTACAAGTGGGAGAACGTTGGAGTGTTTTTTAAGGAGGAAGAAACACAGAATAAATTGGAACAAGACTAAGTTCAGTCTCTGGAATGTTCTCAAGACTATCCTGGAGGAAAGTTCCCTATGGTGTGCACAGGGAGATGTTCTTCTCCTGGCCTGATGTTGTAGATGCTTTGCTCCAGAGAAGGAAAAGATGGATCTGGGCCGGATGTGTCTTTTTCAGCAAGCTCTGGGGAAGAGGAAGGGTGGATTCTAGGATTGCTGATAGACTCTACAGACAGTTACTCCCTTGAGGAAGGAAGATATGGTTCCTGCTCTCTGGGATGGAAGGAGGGGAATAGTCACACCCCGAGGAGCTGTGTCGTGCTCCAGCCTGGATCTTTAGATGGTGGTGACCCTGGACAGCCTTCTCCCATGGGATTGTGCACATAAGGACAGCAAGGCCAGGATGGCTCCAGGATTGGCTCTTCTCCCTCTACCTTGTGCCCTCTAGTGTTGCTGGGAAGCRCAACGTGGGGATTCCCAAATTTGGAAACACTTAGCCAGTGACTTTCACCCTGTGGATGAACTTGGAACAACCTTCCAGAAAGCTAAAAAAAATCTGCCTTTATTTTATTCCCAAATCAGAGTTTTTTCCCTTGCAGTGATCCCAGAAGGATACCTGGAGCTTAGGGGGAATCAAAAGCATGACATGATGCCTTGTCATGTCCTTTTCTTCTGGAATTCTGCTGGATATCACGGGTAAGGATCTTACCTTGCTATTGGAGCTGGAGACCTTGTTTGGATGGAGCTGAACTGGATCCGCTGTGATGGCAGCATTCCTTCAGCATCCCAGAATGACCCTTCCCCCTTGAACTAGGCTTTTCCCAGTGGAGAATCATGGAATATCCTGGAAGGGACACACAAGGATAATGGAGTCCATTTCCTGGCCCAAGGATCCCATCATGAGCACAGAAACAATGAAGTGGATACCAACAAACCCTTTCCTTGGATGGGGCACACCCCTGCTACCTCCCTGTGGGAATTCTGCACTATCCACCTCTTCCAGCCTCCAGGATTCCCTGAATTGTGCTGTTCCCTTTCATTACTTAGCTTGCTAGTACATAAATCCTGATAAATCCATAGGAAATATTAATGGGCCTTGGGCTYCTCTGGTCCAGAAGATGCTGTATGCTGGTTCCCAGCTGGAATTGTGGGTGCCATCAGGAGCAGAGTTGGAACAGTGTGTTCTGTGCTTTTTCTCCCCAGTTTGTTTGCTTTTTGACTGGCTTTCATCCAAAAAGCACCAGGATTTGTCCAGGATTATTTCACATCCATAAAGCTGATGGTGTAAGATGGGGAAATGCAAAAGGATCTCCATGGAAAATCCACTTGTGATGAGGAATGAGCTGTRCCAAGGTCTCCCTGCCTATCCCTGCTGTGCCACCACACAGGACACCGGTGGTCCTGGCATCCTGAGCTATGGATGTGCTGGAATAGGCAGCTCCCACATTTTTTTGGGTTGTGTTTCACAATCAGGGCCAAATCCTGCTCCTGTGATGTTGGAGTAGRTCCAGGAGGGCGTACAGCCAGGAGCTGCTCAGGTTTGTACAGGCAAAATCCATCCCATGCACTTCCCAGGTCCCCCAGAGCCTCCCACTTCACAGATTCATGGAATTATTTGTGTAGGAAGGGGCCTTAAAGCTCATCCAGTCCCACCCCCTGCCATGAGCAAGGACATCTACTGGACCAGCTTGCTCCAAGCCCCTTCCAACCTGGCCTGGAACAGCTTCCTGGGATGGGGAGAGAGCTCTGTGCATTCCACTTGATCCCTGACATTTCCATGGGAAGCAGATAGGTTTCTATTTGTCTGCTTTTCCCTGGAATTCTCCCCAATTCTCAAGAAAACATCCCTGTTCCAAAGCTCCAGTGGAAGCAGTGACAGTGCCATACTCAGGGTGTCTGAGATCTTCTGCAGGCACACCTGGGATTCCCAGATGGATCCTGGAGGCTGCTTTGATCCAGCTGGACCTGTTGGTTGTACTGGAAACAACTAAAATCCCTTTCCCTTCTCTTTTCCCATTGCTCCACAGCACTTTGCCAGACTCTCCCCCAGATTCTGGATCAGAAGCCTACTCCCCTCAGCAGGTGAACGGTAAGTGTCTCAAACATGGAGAAGGGGAAAAAAAAAGTCCTAATCCAAACCCCAAATCCAGCATCCACCCCCTGTTCATTCCGTGAAAGTGGTTGGCTCTGCAATCTTTATCAGCCGGGAGAAAACAGGCGGCTGCACTACGTGGGGAGATTATCAGTTAGTAAATATCCCTCGGCTTTCGCCCATTGTTCTGCTCCCGGCTCTGGAAAAGGGGAGAGGGACCAGCACAGAASSYGWKCTGGGAATCCACGGACACGGAATCYGTGGTGGGAATTKGYGGGCACGGAATCCGTGGTGGGAATCCACGGACACAGAACCCGTTCTGGGAATCCGCGGACACAGGGGTGTGGTGGCAGTGTGTCAGGGTGGGATGTGGAGCCCTCCATCCCCCTCCTCCTGCCCTCTGCCTCGGGAATTCGGAGCAGGAGCACGTCCCTGACATGGAGCCATGAACCTGCCATTCTCCAGTAAGTTCCTTCCCAGCATTTCCCTCCCTTCCAGTTGATCCTGAGGGTCTTTTGCTCCCTCTGAAAGGGCACAGAGCAGTTGGGACCCCCTCCAGGGTCACTGCCAGGCTCTCCTGGCTTCCCCTGGGAAAGCCACTGAGCGTTGTTTGGTCCCTTTGGTGACCTTCACTGTTCCTCCATGGAAAAGCTCCTTGGGAAGGGAGGAGGGAAGGTTATCCTGGTCTCCCTTCCCCCTCAGCGGCAGCAGCACCCTCTTCCCCAGGCTCCAACCCGGTCCCCACCGGGAACAGTGTCTGCTCTGGTTTCTTTTGGGCTTTTTTCAATGGAAGAGGTCAAGAGTTCTGTTTATCTTGCTTAAAAAAATCCCTGGAATTCCTCCTGGCCCTTCCTTAAATATAACAAAGAGGCCGGGTTGCTCACCGTGGGGAGAGCGGCTTTGGAGAGCTGGGAGCTCGGCTGGGAGGGAGAGGAGACTCCAGAGGGTACCCACAAAGCTGGGATCACATTCCTGGAGATGRTTTTCCCTGGATTTGGGATCCCTTGGGCAAGCACATCATTGGCTGGGCTGTCCCTGAGGCAGCTCCACAAGGAAGGGTGGCCCAGGATTGAGCCTGGAAGGAGGAATCCAACCCCATGGGTGGGGAAAAGGCACTGAGAGATCCCAGCAGGATGGAAAATATTGTGGAAGGGAGCAGGATGGGTCCTCAGCAGAGGACTCAGTGCAAGCACATTCCAATTTTCCAAGCCTTCCCATGGGAGGAGTTTTCCCATTCCTGGTCAAGYGCTTTGGCCTTGTTACTCAAGCCCTGCCTGGGTGTTCTGAGGCCAAAGTCCATCCAGCTCAGCCTGGAAAGATCCAACAGATCCTTCCCTGCCGTCTCCCTCCGTATTCCCAGAGGCTGTGCCCAGCTTGGCCAGTTCCTGGGTGTGTTTTCCATCTGATTTTCCACACTGGAGCATGAAGAAGCTTTGTCTTGCATTTAAAACAAAGTTGCTGTCCCTTCCAACCCCAGAGTTTCCCCACATCCCAGGGGTCAGTCCCTCATTCCTGCCAGATTGTGGGGACGCCTGAAGGCACAGGTTGATGCAAACATCAGGGAAAGGCTGGAAAAAACAGATGGGCTTTGTCCTGGTGAAGAAAAAGGAGGCTGGGGGCTGGAGAGGGACTTTGGACAAGGGCATGGAGTGGCAGGACAAGGGGGAATGGCTTCACACYRCCAGAGGGCAGGGATAGATGGGATATTGGKAAGAGATTCTTCCCTGGGAGGKTGGTGAGACCCTAGAATGGATTTCCCAGASAAGCTGTGTCTGYSCCATCCCTGGAAGTGTCCAAGGCCAGGCTGGATGGGGCTTGGAGCAACCTGGRAYAGTGGGAGGTGTCCCTGCCCRTGGRAGGGAGTGGATCTGGAATGYTGRGGTGATGGGGAGCAGGGCAGGGAYGTGGATTTGCATGTCCYTCCACAGCCCAAACRTTTCTGTTGGTGCTGATATAGTCAAATCCAATGGCTTTAGTATCCCATTCCAAATGGAGGAGGAGAAAGGTGGGATCACATTTGAATGTCCCTTTTTATTTGAATTCAGGGATCAAAGTCTCCTCCTGGTTTCAATTAAAATGTTTCATGTGTCCGTTCAGAAATCCTCACTGGAAATGCTGGGGTTGTTCAGGTCATTCCATTGTCTCTACTCTCTMATTTTCCCATGGAATGATARAATCCTGGRATGGTTTGGGTAGAAAACTGTTAAAGGTTATCACATTCCGAGCCYCCTTCCATGGGCRGGACCCTTCCCCTRGCCCAGGTTGTTCCAAGCCTCATTTGCCCTGAGGATCCAGAATAACTGGGTCAGTGCTGAGCTGGGATCAGGACACTCTWAACTTTGGCTCTCACTCTCTTCCCAGATCCTCACCTCCTCCGGACCATGACTCCTGAAAATATGTGCCACGTGACTCCCCCTTCCCGCTTGGAGCACCCTCCTCCTCCTCCTCCCCCTCCTCCTCCACCCCCTCACCTCCCAGGCCCCCCACCACCACCTCCACCACCTCCTCACCCCCTCCAGCCACAGCACAATTCCCACTTTCCCGGYCTCCAGCGGGATATGTTCCTGAAGGCCGAGCCCCTGATGCCTCCGTACGGCATGGGGTCGGGAATGGCCCCTGCCGAGCTCCACCACGCCCAGCAATCCCAAATGCTGCACCAGCTCCTGCAGCAGCACGGAGCAGAGTAAGCCCTGGGATGGGGAGGGAATGGGCACGAGGGAATGGGCTCGAGGGAATGGGCTCGAGGGAATGGGCTCGAGGGAATGGGCACGAGGGAATGGGCACGAGGGAATGGGCATGAGGGAATGGGGCCCAAGGGAATGGGCATGAGGGAATGGGCACGAGGGAATGGGCACGAGGGAATGAGCACAAGGGAATGGGCATGAGGGAATGGGCATGAGGGAATGGGGATGAGGGAATGGGGACGAGGGAATGGGCTCGAGGGAATGAGCACGAGGGAATGGGCATGAGGGAATGGGCATGAGGGAATGGGCATGAGGGAATGGGGACAAGGGAATGGGGACGAGGGAATGGGCACGAGGGAATGGGCTCGAGGGAATGGGCAGGAGGGAATGGGCTCGAGGGAATGGGCACCAGGGAATGGAAGCCAAGGGCATGTGGAGTGCACTAAGAGTGGAGTTCAATGGGGGGAACAAACGGGTGAAATCTGTGGGATTTCGTGAAGGGGCTGGAACGGGATGAGCTGTAAGTTCCCTTCCAACCCACACCATTCTGGGATTCTGTGGAATTGGAGATGTGGCTCAGCACGCGAGTGATCCAGACTCAGCAGTGTGGGATGAGGTGGGACAGTGCTGGGGGGATGTTGTGTTTCCCACATGAGATCCCGATGGTGGGCTGTGGGATTGTCACTTCCCCCTCTGCGTTCCCCACTGAGCTGTTTCCTTTCCCCGGTACCCGCAGCCTCCCGGTGCATCCCGCCAAGAAACGGAAACACTCCGAGTCTCCCCCCAACACCCTCAATGCTCAGATGCTCAACGGGCTCATCAAGCAGGAGCCGGGAATGGGATCGGTGCCGCTGGGCTCYGACCGTGTCCAGACCCCTCCCTGGCACCAGCCGGGTGCTCTGTCACCAGGTACCCCCGTTATCCCYGGAATTCCAGGGGTGGGAGGAGAGAAAGTGGTTGCCAGCCTGTGGGACTCATCCCTGGTGTGAATCTGGTGCTGCCTTGGCAGTCAGGAGGCAGAGCCAGTCACATCCTTGGGCTTTTCCCTTCTGGATACTCAGCTGAGTGGTGGAAATTGGGATTTTGATCCGTTTTAACCGATCCCTGCAGGTCTGATTCAGGATAACGACAGCCTGAAYGGCTCCTACCTGGATCCCAACTTCCAGTCCATCAAGTGGCAGCCACACCAGCAGAACAARTGGGCAACTCTGTACGATGCCAACTACAAGGAGCTGTGAGTAATTCCTTCCCCTCTGGAAAAAGTTGGATTCACATTCCACGTGCTAGTGGRCAGCCACTGTGGGGTTGGGAACATCCCACTCACAATATGGATGAGGATCTCCCTGGGCTGGGCTTTGTGGTGGAGATAACACTCCCCACTGCCCCTTTCCCACTGGGAATGTTACTCCTCCACACTTTTTATAGATAATTAAGGAATAGTAGAAGGCATTTCAGCAGCTTTGGTGACAATTCTGCAGCCACTCAGACCTTTCTCCACCGTGGAGAGTTTTATTGGCAAATCCAGCCTTGCCTTAAGGAGAGCTGGGATCAGCAATACCTTTTCCCCCTCCCTAGGCTTATTGGGGTCCTGGATTTTCAGTTTAGGGTTGGGAATTCCTAGTGTGGGTGGCTGGAGGTCCTCCAGAGCCACTTCAGCACAGCTTGAGCAGCGTGGRAAGGAGMTGGAGGAGGAGGMAGAGAAGGAAGGAAAARGAGGGAAGGGGTTGAGGGGTTGAGGAAGGCTGGGATGACCAAGGCAGGGAAGAGAGAAGTGGGAAGGTGGGAATTGAGGCAGCAGAGGGTGGAGACAGCACACCGGGAAGGAGGAGTGCTCYGAATGAAACCACTCTGGATCCTCCCTGCATTCCTGGGAGGTGACAAAGAGCTGGCAAACAGCAGGATGGCTTCCAGAAACCTCTGACAGACCCCCTRTTCCCTCCCAATTCCCTCCCTCCTCTTTCCACATGGCCAGATGGGGTCCTGTGGGGGCACCTGTCAGGGCACCTTTTATCCTTTGGTTTTCCAGCCCCACTTTCCTTCTCAGTGCTTTCTGCTCTGGAAAAATGATTTCCCGTCCCAAACACATCACAGCTTGTTCCAGACCATTTCCAGGTGTTGCTATCCCAGTTCCAGAGATTTTCCATGCACTCTGGAACTCACAGGTGCATTTGGAGAGACAAACTTGGTGATATTTTTTGCTGGACATAGAGGAATTGCTGGAGAACTTCTACAAACCCAGCCCTGCTCTTTGGATCTTGGGATCGCTTCCCTAATTCCTGCTTTTRGGATTTGTGGTAAAAGCCAGAGCAAACCCACTCCCAGGGCATTGAGGTCGTCATCCCGTTGTGTAAGGAATAAATTCCAYTGAGGTGACTCCATGGAGATTTGAGGAAGCCACGTGGGCTTTGTTGTGGCGCTGGAWTTGAGCAGAATTAAGGGTTAAAGGTTGATTGAGTAATTTTTAGCTCCACTTTACCTCGGGGCCTCTTCCTGCTCCTGTGCAAGCTGCACCTGTATCTCTTTTTAAGTGGAATATCCCTTCATTCTCCTGGTGCAGTGCTTTCCCAGGATAATCTGTGAGAAACACCAAAAAACCCATCATTCCTTGCTCCTATCATGGCATATTTTGGGTCAATTAATTCAAATTTGACAGGTGGGCATTGTGTCCTTCCTTTGTGCTTTTGGGTGTGCTCAGCAGATGAGCAGCATCCACATCTGGATCCATAATTATTCCCACAATTTGGCTTCCAATTATTCCCATACTGGTTTCTGCTGGAAGCTGTCCCCAGTCTCCATGTGCTGTTTGAGTTCCCTGTGATCCAGGTGCCCAAAACCTTTTCACAGCCTCAGGAATGTGAATCATCTGAATTATCTGATTTTTTTCCTACTCTTGATCCTAAGAAAAGAGTCCAGGAAGGAGGTGAAGGAGGGAGAGCATGGGAAGCTGTCCAGGTTCTTACCAGATTCTTGGGAGCAATTAAAGGGCAAAAATTAAATTAATTAAATTAATAAAAATGAATGCTATTCCATGTTTTCCTCCCTTTGCACACAAACCATTWGGTTCCATAAGGGGATGGGATAGGGATTAGGTTCTGTTCCAGGCTCGTGTCTCAGCTTTGAATCTGTGTTGTTGAAGGAGACAAAAATCCCTGGATTAATTTTATTGATAATACATTATTTTTTTTGGCCTTTTGCTCTGATTTTAGACTCAGTGAACTTTTCCAGGGATGAGTTTTCAGCAGYGGAGCCAAAGAGGCCTGGAACCAGGCAATTCCCTAATTTACTCCTGGGAGAAGGAGCCATTCATCTCCCTGACAGCGGGCTCCGGTGAATTCCAGCTCCCTCCTCCTTCTCCCAGCTTGAGGGAAGGCAGCTGGGAATAGTGCAGCCTTCATGGAAACAGCTCCWTGCTGAGGCCAGAGCCTTGGAACTGGGGGCTGGGAAACTGGGAAGGTGCTGTTCTCTTCCCATCAAGCAAACTGGTGCTYTCTGGGGGTTAATCCTGAGGTTTTGGGCTTGGGAGAAATGTTCAGATAAACAGCTCCAAACGTGACTGTGCTGCACATCCTGGATGTCACCAAGGGAATGGAGACAGTGGGATGTGTTTTGGGATCGGGATATGGGGTGTTGGCCCGTGGCTGATCCCATGGTGATGGATCATGGATTCATCCTGGGAAAGCTGAAGGGAATACGTAGGGTGGACACACGGGTGGGATTGTGTGGGAGAGRTGACAATGTCCTGCTGCTCAGATGGTGTTTGTATGCTGGAAGCAAAAGAAATCAGGGAATGAGTGGAATTAGTGAGTGTGCTCAGTTAAGGGGTCTCCCAATAWTATGTCTTAGGAGTGGTATAGAGGTGTGGAAACCTGGGAAAGATGGGGGAGAAAAATGGGGAATGTGATCTGGGCCRAGATCCCAATACAATTCCCTGTGGGGAGTTTGTAACCCCTGATCCTCAGGGGAAAAACCTCCTCTGATCCCGCCCTTCTGTCCTGCCTTCATCTGCCCCTGWCAGTGGGGATGTTTGGGATCAAATAATCCATTTTATTCCTGACGCTTTGCCCCTTGGCCCCTGCACTCTCCCTGGAAAAGCCAGCATGGAAAGCAGCTTCTTCCCATCTGATGAATCCCAGTTTGGGGGATGCATCAGTCACAGACATCRGGAAACTGGGAAAATCAGTGAAAAGGAGCCTCTGGAAGGGGATTGTGGAAGACCTGGAATTTCCAGAAGGCAGAGGAAGGGGAGCCTGCCTGTCTCACCTCTATCAGCACGYGTTTAGCAGCCATCAGTTTGATGTTTTGGGAAGCATCCGTGGTTTGGAAGTTCAGACAGAGCCTCCCTCTCCTCAGCTTTGCCAGTTCAAAAACAGTGGGGAAAGTGTTGAACCCTCAGGAGTCGTGAAATCAGCTGGGAATGGCTCCACCACCCTTGGGATGAGCCCAGAGGGTTCTGGGGCCAGCTCCATGTCCCAGTAAGGAATATCCAGATGGGAATGTGGGGCTGAGGCTGGGAGGAGGCTGGAATTCCTCTCGTGCCTCTGGGCTAAGGTGGTGCTCTGCTCCCACCGCCTGGTTTGTGTCTGGAGCTGGCATTCCTGGCTCCCTGGGGCTCCCTGAGGCCACCCCAGAATTGGCAACCTGGAATCACCCCCAGCTCTCATCCACGTTAAATCCTCAGGTGATTGGAGGGGGAGAATGGTTTTGTTCCAGGAAAAAAGGAGGGATAGCAGTGCAGAATCCCTGTCTCCTGCTTCCTAGAGTCTCCTGAGTTCTGACACATTCCTTACTGTCAGTCTGTCCTGCTCCCCTCCCATTGTTCTGGGCACAATCTGTGTGTCTGTCTGGTGGTGCAAGTCAGAAGTGGTTTGGTTTTGGGAGAAAAGTATAATTTTTAATTTTTTCCATAATTTTTAAGCCTGAGATCCGAGGCTGGGCTGAGCTCCCCCATTGCCTCATCCCTAGTTCCTTAATCAAAAACAATGGGATTTGGGTGTTCTGTGGGATGAGAGGCAGCTCCTTCCCCCCTTCCGAGGGCCCACCAGCCCAGGGCTGGGCTTTATGGTTGGTGAGGAAAACAGACCCTCTGCAAAGGCCACATATTTCCCTGATTCCCATGGAAACCAGCCCATTAAGGAGATGTAGATTAAAGTTTTCCAGCTGGTGTGTGTTCATGGAGCAGCCAGGACCCCTCCTCCTYCTTCTCCTCCTCCTCCAGTTCTGTCTCCTGGGAGCTTTTCCACAGCAGCCGGAGCAGGTGGTTGTGATTTCAGCAGGAATTTGGGATACAGGGGTACAGCCTGGTAAAAATGACATCAGGAATGCCACAGGGTGGTGTGGGTCAGTCTGAGCTGCTTCTCCCAGGCTTTGGACAGGCTCTGGAGCTTGGGAATCTCCAAATATTGATTCCCAGTTGAATGGGGTGAGCAATGGAACGGTTTGGGTTGGAAGGGTAGGGCCACCTTCTGCTAGCCCAGGTTGCTCCAATCCCCATCCAGCCTGGCCTGRARCACYTCCAARGAYGGGATATCCACAGTTTCTTTGGGAAACTCGTGCTCTCATCTGCTCCCTCCCCCAGYCCCATGCTCACGTACCGCGTGGATGCCGACAAGGGCTTCAACTTCTCCGTGGGAGACGATGCCTTTGTGTGCCAGAAGAAGAACCACTTCCAGGTGACGGTGTACATCGGGATGCTCGGCGATCCCAAGTATGTGAAGACCCCCGAGGGCCTGAAGCCCTTGGAATGCTTCTACCTGAAGCTGCACGGAGTGAAGGTAACTGGAAACCAAGGGCTGGTTGTGAATCCAGCTGGGAAAAGTGGCTGGCAGCAGGCAGCACTGACTCTTTGTTTAGTAGAGGAGTGTGTGGAATCACAGACTGATGGAACTGGTTAGGTTGGAAAAGCCCTCTAGGATCATGGAGTCCAGCTGTTTCCCCAGCTGTTCCCCCAAGGTCTCTGTCACCAAGTGCCACTTTAACCCTTTTAAATCCCTCTGGGARTGGTGATTCCACCATTGCCCAGGTTATCCTGTTCCAATGCCTGACCACCCTTTCCATGAAGGAATTTTCCCTAATATCCATTCTAAACATCCCCTGAGGCCACTGAAATATGAGTCCTACTATRGGCTCAGTCTGGGTGTCCTCAGGATTACTTCCCACTCGCCTCTGACTCCAGAGGGATAAAGRAACTTTGGGAAGATCCTTCAACTCTCAACTTTTCTCCTTCCAAGGGAGACTCCCGTGCTTGGACAATGACAGCACTCAGGCTGGGTGCTCCGTGTCAGATGTACCTTGTCACAGAAGGGTGGGCTGAGGGCTGGGAAGCAGGAGGTGGSAAGGGGAAGGTCTCTGTGCTCTGTGCCACATTCCCAAATCCTTCCCTGCAGCTTGAGGCCTTGAACCAGTCCATCAACATTGAGCAGTCGCAGTCAGACCGCAGCAAACGGCCCTTCAACCCCGTCACGTGAGTATCTCCTTGTGGGAATGAACATTCTGTGTTCCCAGGGAATAACCAACAGCAGGAAAAGGTTGGAAAGGGTAGAGCTGTGTGGGTGTCACACTCTCCAGTTTTTTCCTGTTTTTCTCTCTCTGCATTCCCARCTCTGCTCTGCACCCAGGCTCCTGCTGTGGTGGAGCAGGCCAGCAGATGGTCATTCCCAAAAAAATCCTCCTCTCCAGGTTGTGGCTCCAGCCTTTCCATACCTGGTTCCTAAGAGCAGCCTCGGGGCATGAAGAGCCTGATGCAGGTCCTGAGGCTGGACCAGTGTCCAGCTGGGAATGAGGGAGGATTCTCATTGCATTCGAGGCCTCCAGGRGCAGGAAAACTGGGAACCTTTCCCACCTAAGGCAGAGGAGCAGGAACAGATAGGCACCATTCCCAGACAGCACCATCCTCACTCACTGCTTTGTTTTCCTTTCCCTCCAGGGTCAACCTGCCCCCGGAGCAGGTCACCAAGGTCACCGTGGGGCGGCTGCACTTCAGTGAGACCACAGCCAACAACATGAGGAAAAAAGGCAAACCCAACCCAGACCAGAGGTGAGCATGGGGTCCTCCTCCAGAACATCCTGAGAATCCTGTGGATCTGCCTGTTTTGGGTTGGGCGATGTGGCTGGAGTGGGGTGTGGGAATAGGGCCTGGATTGGAAGGGTTGGGGACACCCAKGGTGCTCCAAGCCCACCGTGGTGCTCAGTGCTCCAGAGGGGACACAGATCCGGCTCTCACCAGCACAGGACGTGTCCCTGAGCTGTGTCMCTCCACAGGTACTTCATGCTGGTGGTGGCCCTGCAGGCACACGCCCAGAACCAGAACTACACGCTGGCAGCCCACATTTCTGAGCGCATCATCGTCCGGGTACGTCCCTGTCTCCTTCCTGTGCCTCCACACTTCTTTSCTGCACCATCCTGGGCTGTTTCCCACATTCCACATTCAGAAAACGTGTGGATGTGGCCTCGTGGTGAACGTGGTGGTGGTGCTGGGTTGGATTTGATGATCTTAGAGGTCTTTTCTACCATGATTTYCCACCTTTCCCACCTTCTCCAAACTCTTCCTGTTTTGCTGGTAGTTCTCCCTTTCTAAACTCGGGTTCTGGCTCCAGCTTTTCCACACCTGGTTCCTCAAGAACYTGCTACAGGATAAGGAAGGCATCCCATTCTCCAAATGGGATCAGTGTCCAGTAGAACTGTTGGGAAATGAGGAAAGAGTATTGTTGGGACTCTGCAGCAGGAACAAGGCCTCCAGGTGCAGGGAAACTGGATACTTCCCCACCTTTTCATGTCCTGAAGCTGAGGAGCAGGGAAGGAAAGGCAGCATTCCCAAAGTGGGAAKGGGATTCTCAGCAGGAATCCCACCTTTCCTGCAGGAAAAAATCCTAAACTTTGTGGGATTGGGGTGGAAGAGTGGAAAAAGGATCCCAAAATCCCCGGGAAAATCGGGAATGGGGTAGCGAAATCCCTAGGAAAATTGGGAATTGGGGTCCCAAAATCCGCGAGAGTAAAGTGAGGAAAAGATCTCAAAATCCCTGGGAAAATGGATCCCAAAATTTGTGGGAAAAATGGGATCCCAAAATTTATGGGATTGGGGTGGAAAAAGGATCCTGAAATTTATGTGAAAATCAGGAAAAGGATCCCAAAATTTCTGGGAAAATTGGGAATTGGGATCCTGAAATTTNGAAAATCAGGAAAAGGATCCCAAAATTTCTGGGAAAATTGGGAATTGGGATCCTGAAATTTCTGGGATTTAAACGGCACAGGGGGTCCCACTGCTCCATCCGCCCCACCAGGAGCCCGGGTTCTCCAGGGTTTGGCTGGAGGACTCAGCTCCAAAASATGAGGGCAGGGAGTAAAACCCCAACAGGGACCTCAGACAGAAACAATGGATTATGCAGCTTCCAGGATGTCTCAGGGAATTGCAGGCAGCCTGAAATGCTCTGGGTTTGAGTGCCATCCGTGTCACTTGGTTTCCTGTCACCCGTGTCACTTGGTTTCCTGCTGTCCTGAGTGGTTTGGAACACTGATAGCTGGCATAACAGCTGAAGGAAGCAAGAATGGGATAGAAAAGGAGCAGGAAGGGCCATCCTTCCCCAAAACCTTCCCCATCTTTGCTTCCCAGCGTTCCTCTCTGTGCCTTTCAGCCCCTGGTGTTTCTCCTCAGGCCTCCAACCCGGGGCAGTTTGAGAGTGACAGCGATGTGCTGTGGCAGCGGGCACAGCTCCCGGACACCGTGTTCCACCACGGCCGCGTGGGCATCAACACCGACCGCCCCGATGAAGCTCTGGTGGTCCATGGCAAYGTCAAGGTCATGGGCTCCCTGATGCACCCTTCGGATGCCCGAGTGAAGGAGGACATCCAGGAGGTGAGAACCTGGRAAATAGGGTGGGTTTGGGGTGAGCAGGAGGTCACCAGTGATCCTYGTGGGTCCCTTTCAACCYGGGATATTCCGTGATCCTATGACTRCARAAAGGATGGGAAGTGCCTTAGAATTCTTTCTGTACCAAGCACAGCCATCCAGCGTGTCTTAGGGAATATTGACTCTACCAGTGGCAAACACAGTGGGAAAAAGGTGGAAAACCAATGGACAACAGATGGATATGGGAAGTACCATGGTGGACYTTGCCAGAGCCTGGGTGAGGGGCTTGGCTCTGCTCTGAATTCCTCTCAGCTGGATTTGCCTCCCCAGAAAAGCTGGACACAATCATCTCATGTATTTTTTGGGAACTGCCTCTTCCCTGGGTCTGTCTCCTGATTTCTCAATCCAAGGATCTTGTCCAGAGCTGAACATTAGCCACAGTGTTTGTCCTTATGGCTGCTCAGAGCAGGGGTCAGGGCTGTCTTCCAGAGGAATTCCCATAATGGGTTGGACTCAGAGTGATGGGGATTTGAGAAGCAACATCCTGTTAGGAATTCCYTGTGCCTGTTTTGTCCCAGGTGGACACCACAGAGCAGCTGAAGCGGATCTCCAGGATGCGACTGGTGCACTACAACTACAAACCCGAGTTTGCAGCTACAGTGGGCATTGACAGC